TTTTTTAAATTTTTTTTTTTCAACGTTTATTTATTTTTTGGGACAGAGAGAGACAGAGCATGAATGGGGGAGGGGCAGAGAGAGAGGGAGACACAGAATCGGAAACAGGCTCCAGGCTCTGAGCCATCCGCCCAGAGCCTGACGCGGGGCTCGAACTCACGGACCGCGAGATCGTGACCTGGCTGAAGTCGGACGCTTAACCGACTGCGCCACCCAGGCGCCCCATCTGCCGTAAGCTCTTAAAAACAAATCGCCACGTGTCTACTTGAATAATCTCTAGGCACCTTTAACTTCCTTTCTCTAGAAAATCAGTTGTGAGCACTGGGTGTTGTATGGAAACCAATTTGACAATAAACTTCATATATTGGAAAAAAAAAAAAGAAAATCAGTTGTAGTAAATTGACACAAACAAAGAGGTTTTCCCATCAATAATCTCCTTGTTAGATGCAGACTCCATCTATAGACATGACTCTGCCCTAGTTATAGGAGAGATGTATCATGCTCATTCTGTTGGATAACATTCTAATTTTGGGTTTAGGGGAAAATCTAACCTGACAGTAACAGTAAGACGTCACTGCTACTCCACCCCATCAGGAGACACATAAATTTCCTCACAGATATAATGCAAATAATTGCTGGAAGGTCAAAGAATGAAGAGTTTGGTTGAGAACAGTGTGGATAATCAAGGCATTTTCTGGAAGAGATAATCGTGAGGCGTGGCAAGGACTGGCAATGTTCTGAGAAAGACATTTTATAAAAAAGACACCTCGAAATTTCAAATGGAACCAATCCCGACTTTATCCTTCCCTGGAGAAACGCAGTACTTGGGTTTGGATTCCTTTGAAAAGGAGGCCTCATTAGAGAGTAACAAACGTCGTAGGAAAATACCCAGGATGGTTAAAAATTTAATACAGGGGAACTGTAAGTCACCAGGGAATAAACTGATTGTGTACCTTTGTTTCGAGAATGAACGCTACCCTATTTAAAAACAAATGCCATCCGAGTTCTACAAATTCAAGGTGATTTTTTTTTTTTTTTTTTTTTTTTTTTTTTTTTTTTTGTATAACCACATCCGGGATGGTTATCTATATTTTTTTCTCATCAGAACATCAACATACTGTATTCCTCCTTACGTTGATGGAAGGCGTGCCATTGTGTAACGAAAAAGCGATGGCCCCTGTCTCAATCCGAACGCCTTCTTCCAGGGACGCAGTTGCATGACGCTAACCAGGAACTACAGTTCAAGAACAACGCGGAGGACCTAGAACACTGGCTGGACAAGGCAGAAGAGCAGGCTGCCTCCGAGGACTATGGGAAAGGCCTGGCAGACATCCAAAGCCTGCTCCGGAAACACGGCCTCCTGGAGTCCGCTGTGGCCACCCGCCAGGTGGGTCGCCAGCCCTTTGGCCGCGGTAGGCCGGGGCACCCCTACGAGCTCCGAGCACACTCGTGATAAGTAACTCTCGAAAGAAAAAGAGAGCGAGACACCAAAGGTAAAACTGCCCGAGTTTTAGCTGGTCAGCTGCCCCTTCCTCAGATCTTCTCTAACGTGGCCATGGAGCTGGGTGCCCGTGGCCTCTGTCAGAACCCCGTGGCTCGTGGGGCTTTGTGGGCTCTCCTACCTTTGGCATCACACCCTCCCTGCCAGAAACTTGGGCTTCGTATTCCAGCTCGTCACTCACTAGTTAGGTCACCTCCGGTGTGTGTTTTCACCCGATTCTCACCTGTACGACAAGGTTTGGACAACATTGCCTCCTCCTGTTCCGGCACCCCGGGATGCAAAGCTTGGAAATATCTCGAATCCCACTTCTTTTATGTTTTAGTTAAGAACACTGAAGCCCACAGTGGTGACGCGACTTCCACGAGGTCACAGAGAACGTTGCCAGCAGGGCGAGGACTATGATGCAGATACGTTAGGCTCTTAGTTTCGGGGTTATCCCCCTGACATCCCACCAGACTGTGACTTAAGCTCATCCACGGAGTGGTTAGAGTGTAGACACTGTGTGTGATGTTCCGGAGAACCCGCTTCTAGTTGACTCACTTTCTCATCCCCTGGGGTCCTGACACCTATTCCGTCTCTCCCTCAGGATCAGGTGGACAGCCTCACAGACCTGGCAGCATATTTTGAAGAAATAGGCCATCCCAATGCTGGTGACATACAAGCAAGGCGGGAGTCCCTGGTGTCCCGGTTTGAAGCCCTGAAGGAGCCACTGGCCACCCGGAAAAAGAAGCTCATTGACTTTCTGCACCTGCTGCAGCTGTTCAGGGACACAGAGGATGAGGAAGCCTGGATAGAAGAGACAGAGCCTTCGGTGGCTTCCACCTACCTTGGTGAGTCCTTGACCATGAGTGGGCAGAGCCATGGGGGAGGTCCAGGTGTGCAGACCGTTTGAGAGAGCTGGGACGCAATGGTGGGGGTGCTTTCAGGGTTTACTCTCAGCTTTCTCCCCGCACACTCGGGAAAATATTTTCCAGTCTTCCATAGGAGGTTTTTTAAAAAATTCATACTGAAAAGTTTACCTCCTAGAATAAGTCACAAACAGTGTCGTGAATGGAAGACCTCTGGGAAGAGCTGGAGTGCTCAGCTTTTCGCTACTTACTCTAACGTATTGCCAAGGTCATCGGCTGAGCACCCATGGTTAGTGTTTAAGGTACCAAGTGATTTTGTCCGTAGCGTCAGTGCCTCCCTTTTGTAATGATCTGCGCTTCTGAAAGGGTAAAAGAGGGCGGAACAGCAGAGAAAGTACAGACTTCCTGTCTTTAAGGAGCTGTCAGTTCATCAGTGGGAGGCCACAGGTGGAAGGAGAACTCAGTGTCCACGTCTATGAGAAGCCGATGATGACGACAGTCTGGGAAAACTTCTAGAAGAGAAAAGACCTCTTTGAAGAGTCCCTGGGCACAGTTTCTGGAAAGTCATTTAGTGGGAAGTATAAGGAAGGGACGTTGAAGGAAGAGGGAGGAACCCATGGACAGGAGACAGGGGACGGTAAAGTCAACACCTGGAACTCGGGAGCCAAGAAGGTGGAGGAAAATTAACCATGCATACCACTTAGGAGGTGCTTGTGAATGTTAACAGCAAGGGAGGCATTTATATGTCATTTCTAATCTTAACAAAGAAAACTTCAAGACAGATAACACACCATTTTCTTGGTGAAACAACCTAAGTTGGAAGATTTAATAACTTTCTGACACCCGTGGGTATTAGTCAGTACAAGAGCCTACCTTTTAGAAAGTAATCTGATGAAAGACAATTGGTTGCAAGATATTGGAAGTTTTAGCTGAGGAGTTACTTGCCTCTCTACCTATCTTCCCAAGAGAACAGTGATTTATTTATTGTCTTTTGTAAAATGAGGAATTGAATCTTCTTAGCACAAAGAGGCAAGGGGAAAACAACGCTGAGCAGAGTTAATTCAGAAAAATAATATAAATTTCGGGAAATGCACTCAGAGATCACAACCTCAAAAGAAGAACTTGTAGGTCGAAGAGTTACAAACAAGTAGACTTAGCGTCTTCTTATTCTCTACACTAGAACCACACCAGGCCCTGAAATTATTTTTCTTTGTAGGCAAGGACCTGATTGCCTCCAAGAAACTTCTGAACAGACACCAGGTCATCCAGGATGACATCGCCAATCATGAGCCACACGTCCGAACAATAACGGAGAGGGGAAACAAAATGGTAGAGGAAGGTACGATCGGTTCCGGTTGAACTGGCCAATCATCACTATGTTAAACTTAAGGGAAGAAGTTTGTTCCATTTTAGGGTTTCATGGGAATTGAAAGGTACAAATGATCCACCTTCCCCCTCAATGCAGAAATTCCCGTTGGGCATTTCTGACAGGTGCAATGATGACACAATGTTGCTTATATATTCCAATAATAGGAACCCTCCTACCTCACAAACCAGTCATTTCTATTTTCCAATTAAGCCAATAAAGAAAATATTTTATGCCAATAACCGATATATTCTCTAGCAGTTGCAGAATTTAGAATTGAAGTTCTAAAGCCCCATAAAACAGATCACACCCTTTCCCCACTTGGGAGCTTCCAGATCTGTGAAGACTTGCCTTAGGTTCCCAATGTCTTATAGTCTTGATGGCAAATAGCACCATTTATTTAAATCCCTTACTTTATATAGTCTTGATATGTCCCTTCCCTCCTGGCCTCCCATCTTCAGAAACCCCTACTGCTTAAATATGATGCTCAAAACCAAGCATCCAATTCCAAGCAACAGTAGATCACACTGGGATTGTTTCTCCCTTGATTCAAGAATAAATTGGGGCCAGAAAAAGAATAAATTGTTGCCAGCCAGGATCCAGTTATCAAAAGTACAGTTTAAAATTCACATGGCTCTGCAAAAATTCAGACCTCAATGGTGATTCATTTGTGGTTGCTATGTTATTATAGTGATTCACCTTATTTTTTCTTCCCTTGAAATCTCCAATTGTAATTGTGGATTTTGTCTATTTCTTTCAGTTCTATCAGTTTCCGTTTCATGTATTTTGAAGCTATGTTAATTGTGCGCGGATATATTTAGGCTTGTTGTGTCTTCTGGATGAATTTAAATCCTTAACATTATGGTATAGCTCTCCGTATCCCTGGTCATACCCTGAAGCCTACTTAGCACGACTCTAACACAGTCACACCAGCTGTCTTTGATTCATCTTTGCACAATATATATTTCTCTATCTCTGCTCGTACTCTGTTTCTTTATGCTTAAAGCAGATTTCTTGTAGACAGCATGCAGTTAAGCTTTGATTTTATGTTACACAATCTGATAATCTCTCCTTTTTATTGGGATAGTTTAGACCATTTGCAGCTAATGCAATTATCAACATGGTTGCAATTAAATCTAGCATCTTGTTATTTATTTCTCTTTACCAGTTTCCACGGTCTTTGGGTTAATCGTGTATTTTTTTTGTGATTCCATTTTTCTCTCCATATGTGTTTAGTAGCTATAGTTCTGTGGGGTATGTGTCTAGGGGAGTTGTGTGTATGTGTGTTTAGTTTAGAGTAGTGATTCTCCACTTGTGGTTTTGTGGGTTTCATAATAATGCTAACACATTACTTGCCTTTTTCATAGGCTTTCTTTCGTAAATGCACAGTGAGGTTCCCTGCATGATGTGTGATAATGCCCTTTTGTTCTAACAGTGAATAGAATATACATTTGTCTATTCTTTTGTTTTAAAATTTTCCGTTTCCGTATCTGAAAGGGTGACTGTTAAATAATGTTTTAAGTTTATTTATTTATTTTGAGACAGAGAGAGAGAGAGCAGGAGAGGGGCAGAGAGAGAGAGAATCCCATGCAGGCTCTGCATGGTCAGAGCAAAGCCCACGTGGGGCTCAAACTCACGAAACTTGAGATCGTGACCTGAGCCAAAACCAAGAGTCAGACGCTTAACCAGACTGAGCCACCCAGGCGCCCCTTGCCTTCTTTTTGAAACCCATTTTCAGGAGACATAAAATTCTTGAGAGACAGCCTCTGTCTTTCCGTACGTTAAAGACACTGCTGAATTGTCTTCTGACTTTGCGGGGTTTCTGATGTAAAGTCCGCTCTCGCCACAATCTCTGCTCCCCCGTGTGGAATGTGTCCCTTTTCTCTCTTACCCTTTTATGCTTTTCATCGCTGATTTTCAGAAATTTGATTACAGTATAACCTGGTGTGCTGTTCTTCGTTTGTTGGGTATGGCAATCACTGAGACTCTCGGAACCCCCAAGGAAGACTGCATCCTGGAGCTGGTTTAGAGACGGGGCCACTACTGGGGTGCAAGTCTGCCAGAACTCAGCTCATGTGTTGTAAGCCCAGTGCACTTTGCTGGGCGCTGACTTTATCTGCAGCCCTGTGTGGGCCCCAGGGATGTGGGGCCTCCTGCTGTGCAGCCACCTTGTCCTCACCTGGAGGGGTCTCCTTAGACACATGTGCAAGGGGGCACCAGTCTAACCCGCGAGGGGACCTTGGCACACACCTCCGAAGCCCCATCTCTGTGTGGCACCCTTCTTCGGCCCTCTGCTCCATGGGCTCCGGCTGTCCCTCCTGCCCCAGCTCTGGTCCGCCTGCTCGGCCCGGTGTGACAGCCAGCTTCACCCTCCAGCACAGCCTAGAGACTGCCCCGTGCTTGGGGGGGCACATGTCATTTCTGCCCCTTCTCTCATGAGTCACGATCCTCTGCCTGTTGCCTGAACATCATCGGATCTTGCGATCTGCCCAGTTTTCTAGTTGTTCCTATGTACTAAGCACCTTCCAGGCATAAGCAACGATCGGTTGGATTTTCTGTTTACTCTAGACGGTATATGTTTTTGGAACTCTGAGCAGGACCCACACCTGGGTATTCTGTTTCAGGTCTGTGTGTTACAGACCACACCACCCCCCTCACCGCCACGCACATCCACCCATCCTCTATCATCGCCACACGGACTGCCCACGGTAGCGTCCTCCTACCTCCCTCTCTGTCTCTCCCAGGTCACCAAAAGGAGTGAGGTATGGTGATGTTAAGGAGGGGAGTACTCACCCTTCTTTTAACTAACTACTCCACAGGGCACTTTGCTGCAGAAGACGTGGCCTCCAGGGTCAAGGCTTTGAATGACAACATGGAGTCTCTCCAGGCTCGAGCAGCTAGACGGCAGAACGATCTTGAGGCCAATGTCCAGTTCCAGCAGTACCTGGCTGACCTGCATGAAGCCGAAGCGTGGATCCAAGAGAAGGCACCTATTGTAGACAATACTAACTATGGGGCCGATGAAGAAGCAGCTGGGGTAAGAGGTGCATGGGGGTGGACATCATCTAGTACGTACCAAATGGCACGAGACTGTGGGACAGCCGCACGCTCTGTTAGATTCTTTGGGGCTTCCAGAGTAAACACATTTGGCCTTCACCAGCTGGGATAACCTTGGAGTGGACACAGGTCCTAAGAGGTACACTACATTTTCCCGATCCCACAGAGATCTGTAGATTCCTTAAAGATTATCTAAACCCAAAAAGGCATGACCAGAGAGCCATCCCTGTCTTGGTCCCATCCTAACCTTCTAAGGCTAGCCTTGGAATTTCGCAAACCAACCATGGTTCTAACATATATGTGCTGCAATTACTTTATTGAAATAAAACCGGGCAGACATGTACCCTAAGGGTCATAATTATCTTCTAGGTCTTGCTCATTGCCTTATGGTAAGCCAGTATCATATTTAGCAAGGCTTCAGCGCTGGGGATAATTGCAGTGGGCATCTAAAGCATGCTAATGTTGAATCCTACACAGTAACGTCACTAGCTGTGATGTGTGTTGATAAAACACTTGTGCTATTTTGAGTTCGTTTTGATTAAGCAAAAAATCGAAATTGTTGACCTTCTAACTCCTGTTTTCCTACTCCTTGTCAATTTAGAGTTAGCAAAAGACCTCTTTATTATAGATGGAAAGTGTCTCTTACCAAGAATGAGGACAACCGATATAACCCGAGACTATAGCCCCACCACCCCCAGGAATGCATAGCGTTCTTCGTGTTCTTCCTGTATTCCATTCTAACGATCCCTCCTCAACAAATCCAGGCTCTTCTAAAGAAGCACGAGGCCTTCCTCGTGGACCTGAGTGCCTTTGGGAACAGTATGCAAGCCCTGAGGGACCAGGCGGAGGCCTGCCAGGTGAGAATTCTGGCTTTGAGATGCCAGAAGCCACAATCCCCACCAGAGGACACAGGACTCGCTTTATGACTGGCTTTTACTTCCAATAACTGGGAAACAATTGCAAAGAAAATGCTAAATTCTAGGGTCCTTATCAGCAGAAATTGTAGCCTCTTCATAGCGTTTGCAGAGATTTAATCCGGAAGGGGTTCTCCTCATAAGAGCGATCACGTTCTCATTGATGCACTCTTGTTTTCTGTTTTCCTTCCTTTTATATTCCCACTCCTATCCTTTATTTATATCTCATTCTTACAGACCTTCCTGATTCCTTGTCTTCCTTCTTCGTTGTCTTTATACATTTATTAGATGTCTACCCGATGCGAACCGGAATAAAAAATAATCCCGACAGCAGGACAGTTCCAGTCTATTAGGAGACCAGAGATTTCAGCAAATAAGTGCATATGATAGATACATGAACAGGAGAAAGGGTCTCAAAGAAAAGAGTGTTCCCCTCTCCTGAAATAAGAGTGCTGGAGGCTAGGAAGATCCTCACAGCTGAGGCGAACCGCTTTATCTGAGTTATTTTTTTAAGGTGGTTCACTGTGCCCACGAGGACAGGAAGGGCTTCTCTAGGCAAGAAGCACCGGGGCACAGAATGGCCAGGTGCACTTGGGATATGGCGCATGTGAATGGTGGAGAATGTGAGGCTGGCCCGGAGCCAGAGCCAGCAGTGGAGGCTTCTTCCGAAGAGGATGGGGGCGCCTCCTTGGGGTAGTGGAAGGAACAACAGAAACACCAGGAACAGCCTTTCTAAGGAGAGGCTGTGGACTCACATGCTAGGAGTAGACAACAGACAGGCGGTGTATGCCCAGTAACCATGTGTGCACAGAGCCTGCGTGCCCGCCGTCCTCGGCTGGCGCGGTGGAGCCTAAACGAGCAGACGGGTGTGCGTCTGTGTGTGTGGAGGACACGCGGTACTCGAGGGATAGAAAACCCGAGGGGCCTGTGAGGGGAGGTATACACCCTCCGCTCTGATCTGAAGAAGGGGTGAGTCATTGCTTACAAATGGGGGATCGTAATTTGTTCCTTCTCTCAGAGGTGTGATATTGGCAGAAAGTATATTGGTGGAAAATCAAATACCTTGGAGAGCAGGTTGCTTGCTCAAGAGAGATACAAGGTCTTTGATCTCAGTTTATGGTCTCAATTTATGAAATTTTGTGGCCTTTCCTGTGCTGTAAGTCACCCATCTCTAAAAACAAAGGCCAGGGGACACCTGCGTGGCTCAGTCAGTTGAGTGTCCGACTTCGGCTCAGGTCATGATCTTGCGGTCCGTGGGTTTGAGCCCCGCTCAGAGCTGTGCTGACAGCTCAGAGCCTGGAGCCTATTTCGGATTCTGTGTCTCCCTCTCTCTCTTTGCCCCTCCCCTGCTCGTGCTCTGTCTCTCTTGCTCTCAAAAATAAATAAAACATAAAAACAAAGGCCCACATTTCCTTGACATGATAATTTAAGGGTTAAGAAGTTGGAAGGATTGGGGCACCTGGATGGCTCAGTCGGTTAAGCATCCGACTTCGGCTCAGGTCATGATCTCACGGTCCGTGAGATTGAGCCCCACATCAGGCTCTGTGCTGACAGCTCGGAGCCTGCAACCTGCTTCGGATTCTGTGTCTCCCTCTCTCTCTGCCCCTCCCCCACTCATGCTCTGTCTCTCTCTCTCTCTCTCTCTCTCTCAAAAATAAATAAATGTTAAAAAAGTTTTTTTTAAAAAGAGGTTGGAAGGATTGTCAGTGGAGGCCCAGGAAATGGAGAAGGTGATGAGAGATAGTGGGTCTTTCATTTTCTCAAACAATCTTCTGAAATGTTGGTGCATTTAATCCCTTATTACCTGCTTTACGAACTGGTGCTTAGAGCATTTGCCATGTTTCTGACAAACTACAAACTCACTTGCTCACTCTGTGTTCATATTCCCCAGCCTGCCTGTCCCCTCTTGTATCAGGGTGGAGAATATCTCTGGGAGCGACATGTTGCAGTCTGTCTCTTACGGCAACCATGCGGGAGGTTCCAGCCCGAGGCTCTCCCCTCCATTCAGCCCAGGGCAGCCCACCACCCTTGGGTCCGACAGGTGCCTGACATGATCTGCTTCCTGCTTTTGTCCAGCAACAACAGGCTGCACCAGTGGAGGGAGCTGCCCGAGAACAGAGGGTGGTGGCTTTGTATGACTTCGAGGCCCGTAGCAATCGAGAAGTCACCATGAAGAAAGATGACGTCTTAACTCTGCTCAGTTCCATCAACAAGGTGAGTCTCCCTTCCGACCTTCTTCCTGTCAGCAAGATGGCCCTTCCATGGTCAACTCGCCCAACCTTGCCAGATACCCATGTTTTGGCCTCCAACACCTTTCTACTGCGGTCTCTCTTAAATCGCCGTAATCTATTAAATCGTAACTTTCTTCCAGATATCGTGTAAGATCCTGTAGCTATCTTTTGGGGTTACAACGCCAATTACAGTGAACCAAATGAAGACCCAAAAAGCTTCAGTAATTAGCCCAAAGACATATAAACTATGAATGGCAGTTCTGCGATACTAAACTGTCCCTTTCTTCTCGTCTCCTTGCTTGTCTCCCTTCCATGCCAATGGCCCTAGTGATGGGACGCCAATGGCCGGGGCTAGGGGGACCCTGAAAAAAGAGAAGTCTTTTGTCCACTCGGTTTTCTTCAATGTGGCAGAGACGGGTCTGTGAGAAAAGTAACCAAATATTGGCTCTTTTCAAAAGAGCTCAAACAACTTTTTTGAAAAAGGAGGTTTTTGAAAACCTCCACCGTAGTTAAAGGTCTAATGTCACACGTCAAGATCCTTGATTTCGGAGGCTGACTTGAACAATCCCTGCAAGTCCTTATTTACCTCCTCCAACATCTGTGAAAATCACACGCCAGTCGTAAGCAGTGGTTTGCTTCTCTTGCCCTCAGCCTGTGCCTGTGCCTACAGGCTTCGTTTTGAGAGTGGAAGCCTCTCCTACCTGTGTTTTTCCGAGACCTAAGGAAGGAGTGGGGATCTCTCTCTCCGCAGGACTGGTGGAAGGTGGAAGCTGGTGACCACCAAGGCTTTGTGCCCGCTGTCTACGTCAAGAAACTGGCTCACGATGAGTTTCCCACGCTCCAGCAGCGGCGACGAGAAGAACCAGGCAGCATCACTGAGCGCCAGGAACAGATTGAGAAGCAGTAAGTTCTGGAGGCTGCCAACCCAGACAGTACTTGGCTAATCATTTCTTATTGGCAAAGACGCGTCTCATGTTTCGTGTTTCACGACGCCTTCCCCTTCTCCCTGGTTCCGCGCAGGTACCGCTCACTCCTCGATAGGGCCGAGGAACGCAGATGTCGCCTGCTGCAACGCTACAACGAGTTCTTGCTGGCCTATGAGGCGGGCGACATGCTGGAGTGGATCCAAGAGAAAAAGGCAGAGAACACCGGGGTGGAACTGGATGATGTCTGGGAGCTGCAGAAGAAGTTTGACGAGTTCCAAACGGTGAGAACGAGCGACTTTCTCCTCTAGACGGCTTTCTGGAAGTGACTATTGTTTCCATTTATTCCACGCCTGCCCCTAAGTGGTTGTTCAACTTCGCATTTGCTAAATATCCGTCCCAGAGCTGCTGAGGGTCCCACATTTCAAATCCCTGTCTGGGTACTGGAGCTAGAAGGAAAACACAGAGGAGACTAGTCCCTGACTCAGCAGCCTGTGGTCCTTGCTGCTCCTAGACCCTTCTGGGACTGCTGGTCTCCCTGAGTTCTTCAGTGCTTGCCCCACACTGCGCTGTGTTCTGGGAGCTCAGGTTGAGGGGGGAAGCTGGGGTAGGAAGGTGGGAAAACAACCTGACTTTACACTTACGCAGTTTCTTTTTTTTTAAGTTTTTATTTATTTATTTTGAGAGAGAGAGAGACAGATGGAGAGACAATCCCAAACAGTCTCCAGAGCTCTCATCCCGGAGCCTGACATGGGGCTCAGTCCCACAAACCATGAGATCACGACCTGAGCCAAAATCAAGAGTTGGACATTTAACTGACTGAGCCACCCAGGTGCCCCTACAGCTAGACAGTTTCTAAGGTTCTGCCTGCCTAAAACCCTCTGTCCTCTGTTCTCACAGATTTATTCTATACGTTATCTAGTGGCGAATATAAACCTCTCCTTTCCTTTCTTTTTCTTATGATGCCTTCTACATAGAATTCAAGGTGACATATAGATAGATGATAGATAGATAGAGGATAGATAGATGACAGATAGGTAGAAATCTGGGTAAATAGATGGATAGATACACAGGCATATGGATGGATAGATAGATGATAGATATAGATATCAATAGATAGATAGATAGATAGATAGATAGATAGATAGATGATAGATAGGTAGACATGGGTAGATAGATGATAGATAAATAGAGAGATGGTAGATAGATAGATAGATAGATAGATAGATAGATAATAGGAATTATATGGATTGTATATACATACACAGAATACATAAGGAAAGAGAAAAGAGGACAGTGAAAGGAAGGGAGGCAAGGACAAAATTATAAAAGAACACCAAGAATGACACTCCCACGAGGAAGCTCGTGGCCTCCCACGAGGAGGCCTTTGTACAATGTAATGGACAATATCGTCCCCATAGGCATGGTGCTAAGCTCCTCAGAGCGGTTTCTTACAACATGACCTAAAGCAAGCAGGTCACAGCTTAGTCTGTGAGATTCTATAGAAAGCAAAGGAATTTGTACTGGTTGGAAACCACAGTAGGCGGCTCAGGGAGAGACTCCTTTAATGGCGTCACTTAATCCAGGAGAGAATTTTAAGGAATCTAGGAAATTAGATGTGCTCCACACTCCAGAAAAATAGAAGCTCTCTTGCCAAGTTCTTGATAGCCACAGAGGGTCAGGGAGTTTAAAGGTAACTCTTCTTAGAGGCAGATCGGAGGGCATCTTCTTGTGCTTCGCAGGCGAGGTTAGCAGTATGTTTAATGTCTAGTCAAGTTGGGGCAGAGGTGAGTCGGAAGGTATGAAGATTCCTGAGAAGGGGATTTATACCACTTTGGACAAATGTTCCCACCCAGGATCTGAAGGCCAATGAGCCTCGGCTGAGGGATATCAACAAGGTGGCAGATGATCTTCTGTTTGAAAAGCTTCTAACGCCAGAAGGAGCTCAGCTACGTCAGGTAAGTGAAGCTCCTTCCATTTCTCCTCACCGCCAGGCTGAGGTCTGGGGGTCTACATCTCACTTAAATACATTCAGCGTCCTATTCCACAGATCAGCTAGAACGGGCAGAAGGTCTAAAGCTGGCTTCAGATAAGGTCAGAGACAATAGTTCAAACAGTCTAACCATGTATATATTTAAACTGATCTGAAATCTATAGATCGCAGCACATGCCTCCATCTTTTCTTACAAACACGGAAAATTCATGCCCAAACCCATGAATACAAAGAAAATGCAGTTAAGAAGCTCTGACAGTGGAAAAGGGTTAGTCAGGAAAGCTTAGTGGAAGGGACAAGCGCTGATGAGATCTGATGAAGGAAGGAGAAAACTATAGGTCAGTAGAGATGGGAGGTGGGGGCCTTCTAGACCTGATTTAGATCGGGACCTAAAATCATAAAGATTTTATAAAAGATCTGATGAACATGAGTGGGAGGTCCGCTCAAGCTCTCTGGGTTGTCATAAACCAGGGAAGATGTGTCCTCTGCCTCTTTTATGGCGGTCGACATGGAGTGAGAGGGAGAAGGCGTGTGCATAGGAATAACTTGTTTTCTCTTTATAAAGAAGTACAGCTCTAAGTGGTTGTTTAGCTTAGTCAATCTAGGATGCAGAAATATGGCAAAAACTTCTAACTACCAAGGTGACGTATTCCATTCACCTTTTGGAGACTGTAATTAGTCTCTGCAGCAGCAAACATCGGTTGCTGGCCTAGGGTTGATGGTTCCACCCTGGAACGTCATTTGGGGAAGGAAAATGATCCCTTGCTTAACAGCATGAATGAGGGCCAAGCTCAAACTATCCAGGAAAGAAAGAAACCTGTGCAGTTTCGGAAGAGATCACGTGGAAACAGCCATGATGCAAGCCTCGTCTGGTCTTTGGACAGCGCTGAGCGACCTGCGTTAGCTTTCCAGCGGACTCCTGTGTGTCTGCTTCTTTCAGGAGTTGAATAATCGCTGGGACTCCTTGCAGAGGCTTGCAGAAGAGCAGCGACAGCTGCTGGGCAGCGCCCATGCCGTCCAGATGTTTCACAGGTGAGGAGGTACCCCAGAAAAGCCCCCAAGGCTGACGGCTGCAGGGGACGCACAGCGGTCAGCACAGCACCCCTGAGACAGAGATAAGAGGGAGTTGGGTGTCTCAGTACTGGATTCCTTTCTTGGCACGCGGGGTCCTCCCAGACAAGGAACTCTAATTTTCTAGTTCGTGGATCCTGGTGCATAATTTGCAGGTTGCATGATAGTTAATGCAACGGGGAGTAGACACAAGAGGTTTAAGTCATTATATTTCTGAACTAGCAGTAGGCACCAGGTTCTCACATTGGCTCTTGACTATCGATTCGACCATTTTTTACATCTGATTCCAAATCTTTGTCCACACATCCATAGGCAAGTAAGCAAACAAACAAACAAAATGGTGACTGAATGCCTTGACCATGTGTACGTGTATTTTTGAGCATGCAGAGGAGAGAAAGGAAAAATGCAGACGGGTCCGGCTGCTTAGAAGGACTGAAGGAGGAAAGCCAGGAAGCAGTCAAGTGTGCACTCTGCAGCCAGGCCAGCTGGTGCAGACAGGCTCCACCAGGTGGCGGTGGAATAACCTTGAGAAAATGGCCCCCGTGGGGTTCAGTTTTGCCTATAGAGAATGAGAATGGTAATTGTCCCTATGCCTCAGGTATTGGTGGGACAATTCAATGAGCCTACATTCTAGCACATCAGAAAGGGTGACGGGGATGATGGTAGAAATGACTTCCTTGGAGCCAGCTGGTCTGCCTGTGGAATCCACTGTCACTCTAGTCTTTTCCTCTCGTGAACCAGAGAAGCGGATGACACGAAGGAGCAGATTGAGAAGAAGCTCCAGGCCCTCAGGGCTGCTGATCCCGGCTCAGACCTGTTCAGCGTTCAGGCCCTTCAGCGGCAGCATGAGGTCTTTGAGAGAGACCTTATGCCTCTGGAAGAGAAGGTGAGGTGTGCGCTCCCAAGCTGTCCCAACGTCCCCCCCCCCCATTTACACCTGTCCGTGCCCTCATTATTGCTTTCATTCCCCAGTCCCACACTCTTCTACTTCTCCTTATCTTACTCCATCCTTGCTTTTAGATCTGTCCCTACAGCAGGTGCACCAAAAGGACATGCCCAGGACCATGAACACAGAGGGAAAAGCATATTGCAATGACCTCTGGCCAACTACCTCTGTAGTGGGTTCCAGGTGCCTAGACCATACAGAAGGCCCACAGCCTCAGCCAGAGGGGGAACTGGCCACACCCAGGATGGCCTGGGCTAATCATATTCCCATTCCCTTTGTGAGGAACTGACAACACATAATCCCCCTCCACTCTAAAAAAAGCCCTGGAACTTGCCAGATGCACACTGGAATAACACAGGGCATCATGTGGTTTGGTATTATCGTGCAGAGCAAAAAGAGCACAGAAAATGTCCGTATTAAAAAGACCTTCACATTAAAAGTCAGGACCCTTGGGGGCTCCTAACTGATGTTGCCACTGACCAGCAGAGTCACTTAACTGACACCTTCTTATCTTAAAAAGAAGGGTGATAATGTCAACTTTGACTGCTTCTGGGAGTTATTGTGTGTACCCAAAGGGTTGGCATTATTTTATGAAGTAGTAAGATGTTCTTGTACCTCACTGACGTCTATTTGAGGAGTGGACATGGCCAGGGCTCAGAAGTGTTATTTTGCTGAGATTCAGTCCTTGCACCTCCTCAGGTGACCATGTTGAGGGAGACGGCAGAGCGGCTCAGTGAGTCCCACCCAGATGCCGCTGGTGATCTGCAGAACCAGGGAATGGAGCTGAAGGAGACATGGGATGACCTTCTAGGGTGCACGGAGGACCGTAAGCATGACTTAAATGAGGCCCGGCAATTCTACACGTTCCTCAACAGAGCCAGGTAAAGCTCCAGAGGCAGATTATGCCAAGTGGGGTGGGTGGTTTCCGTGTTTGGTCTCTACATAGACCTTCCAGGAGCAGTCTGAGTATAGGTGTTCTTCACGGCTGGTTTGGAGGGTATGTCCACATCCAGATCACACCTCTGGCAAGACAAAAAGCTCCAGCTCGGTAGTTCAAGCCATAGGATACCAAAGTTGGAAGGAATGTGACGCCATCTAGGTAAATCAAGTAAGCCTAGAGCATGGACGGTATACAGGGAGCTATGTCAGCAGCTGTAGAATATGGATGTTTTCTTTCTACTAGAAAGGACAGAGGAGCACAGATAACCATGGTAGAACACAACACAGCCCAAACACGCATCCTAACGAATGCGTGGAACTAGCAAACAAAGGCACAAGGATAGGAAAGGTGTACCATGTTCATGAAGCAGGGGCAGCTGGTGCAGCGGATCACATGTCAGAGGGGTCAAGACAAGTATCAAGACATAAGCTTAGACGTGTTGAGATAGAATCTTAGAGAATTTCCATCGCCTTGCTAGAGAGTCTAGACGTTAGCATAATTGAGCAAATATACACTCTATCTGTGAAACAGTTTCCACATTCTGCCCCATCTCATCAGTCTCCTGGGAGGAGTGTTGGGAATTGAGGATCCAGAAAGTAGTAGCTCACAATGTAATACTTTTGGAAAAAAAAAAAAAGGAGGCAAGTTTTGGCAAATAGTTGCAGTTGCACTTGGCAATCCCCTCTCCAATTCAGGTTCTCTGGAAAGCTATCATTTTTCATACAATATAAATAAATAGCATCCACAGATGCCCCCCACAATCATATATGTACTCATAGCTCTGTGTATATACAGATTCTGCTCTGACTTCAGATTCCAAGTCAAATGCTGCCTCCTTCTCTTTACGAAATCTTACTCTTCAATAAGCAGAAATAATATCCCCCCTGTCCAAACAACTCTGACCTGATTCTACTTCTTTATGACCCTTTTGCTTTTCAGGCTGTTTTTAAAAAGATAGGTATTAGCCTCTGTGTTTTGTTTGTTTGTTTGTTTGTTTGTTTGTTTGTTTTCTTTCAGTCTACAGTGTGAGCTCCTTGGAGACACAAATATGTCTCTTCTGCAATGTTTGGTACTTAATAAGCACCCAGTGAACCCTAGTTGTTTGACTAAGTGAATACATGAGTTTACAAGAGAAAAGACCCTTCTGCCTCAGAGTGGATGTGTGCTGTTTCTCCCACAAGAGGAAGGACGCTCTCTATGTGATGCTTAATTTGGGCATCACGCAGGGTTGCTAGTCAGGACGTTATTACTTGACATTACTCTCTGGGGTGATGGACTTTAGCTCTCCTTGTGATACCTTTTGACTGCTATTGGAGTAAGAAATGGGCCCTGGTCTCATCGACAGCATGGAGTGTGTGTGTGTGTGTGTGTGTGTGTGTGTGTGTGCGCGCGCGCGTGCATGCTGGCAGAGCACGTACTAGATTCTTTTAGGAATAAAGTAAAAGCGAAGACATGCCTTCCTCGAGATTCCATAAAAGATCGATCTTTAAACTGAAGAATCCACTTTTTAGGGACAAGAATCATTACGAGTAATGGAATATGTGTCGGTCCAGGATTCGAGTGTCTGGGTTCCAGTCCAGATGTCTGTTTCGACTCATACTGCATAAGAACATCACTTACATTCTCTAGGCTGACCTCCTCATCTCCAAACTGAGAACAAAACAGTTCCCAGAATTCCGTACAGGATTATTGCAAGACCTGAAAGAGATAATACATGCAAAGACGTTTTCAAACATGGGGGATTGCCATTATTAAGTCAAACAGTGAAAGGGCTGTTTGCAGAGGGCCTACGAAGCAGAGAAAGACAGATGGGAAGTGTTACTCTAGAAATGTTTTCTAGAGAGGAAAAAGCCAAGGACAGATAGCCCTGTAACAAGCTGCGTGGTCGTCCTGTCAATCCCAATATGTCTGTTTCTCTAGGGACCTAGAGAACTGGATGAGTGGCATTGGTGGCATGGTATCATCAGAGGAGCTGGCTGAGGATTTAACTGGCACAGAGATCCTGCTGGAGCGGCACTCGGTAGGGCCTACAAAAGCCATGGCCGCCGATCACATGACCTCCCGACCTTCCCTCATCTTACGACTTTGATGAGATGTCACTGGCGTCACCAGTCTCTTCCCTTTTCCAACACAGGGGCATTATGCTGACATGGAGGCTGAGGCTCCCACCTTCCAGGCCTTAGAGGAATTCGGCGGAGAACTTGTGAGAAGTGGGCACCGTGACAGCCCTGAAATTCAAGAAAAGCTTGAAGCGGTCAGGCAAGAGAAAGGGGACTTAGAGAAAGCTTGGGATCAACGCAAGAAGATGCTGCATCAATGTCTGGAGTTGCAGGTAAAGCAAACTTCACACCGTTTAGCAGGATAGCCTCAGACCATCCCTTCTATGCCAGTGTGCACGGTTACTCCAGACGCTCATTTCACTGGACGTACCACCCCCTAAGCACAAGGACATTCCTTGACTATCTGCCCTGTATTCTCATCATTGTGGTGTTCTCTGCTCTAATCCCTGTTAGAGGAGCCAAACAAAATGGGGGTCAGCTCTTGGCATGGGATGGGGTGATTATTATTATAACGTATTCGTTGATTGAGAGTTTGGTTGATGATTCTTACTCTCACGCTGCTGTGTGCGAAGCCCCGGAAACAGAAAGATGAGTAAGATAACGTCCCTTTTCTTAAATAGTGAAATTAGACATGTAGACAGCCAATTCTAGCACGGTAAGATGATTCTTAATAAAACAAAAGGTATGAATATTTTGAGGCTGAAGAAGAGGGAGTGATTATAGCCAGTGAGGGAAGGTACGAGCAGGTCATTGACGACCGTGAGGGTAGTGTTTATGACAGTCCGAAAGAAATAACCAGCCAGCATCCACCAGGCACAGCGTATGGGAAACCTCACCCTGAGAATGGAGCCTATATAAATATACACTATAGCTTATTTGAAAACATAAGATGTGGTTTCAGGGAAGAGGGAAAGGTCCAGTATAGGCAAGATTCATGGTATGAATGTTTCTCGGGAGAATATAAGCACCCCTTACGGCATCTCTTATATCAGTATCGTAGGAGAGGGATAGATTCTGTCCTTGGTGCCCTGGATTGAATGTAACCTCTACTTTAATTCCCCGTAGTTGTTCCATGGGAGCTGTGATCAGGCCGAGAGCTGGATGATGGCACGAGAGAATTTCCTGAGGTCAGAGAGAGCGGGCCCCTTAGACAGTCTGGAGGCCTTGATGAAGAAACGGGATGATTTGGAGAAAGCAATCAATGCCCAGGTAATAACAACCGATCTAAGAGTTCCAATAATAAATGTTAGTAATAATAACAGAAATACCGATACATACATGTCGTTTCATGCTTTGGAAATATTTTTTTTTACGAAATTTATTGCCCAATTGGTTTCCATACAACAGCCAGTGCTCATCCCAGCAGGTGCCTTCCTCAATGCCCATCCCCTCCCCTCCCCTCCCTCCCACCCCTCCCCCAT